TTCTCAGAAAAGTCAGAATTCTGACTTTTTTCTCAGATTTTTTTTTCCAGTGGCCCTTAGAAGTGGCAGATGGCCACAAGGTAATTTTTTTTGTTGTTAAAACACAAGTGTTACTTTTGATAGACTGAAGCGCTTAAAGCCTTTGTGTTTTTTTTCACGGCATTCAATAAATGCAACGAAGCGCCCGTCTTGAAGAAGCCGTGCCTGTGTTGTCATTTCGGAGTTACAATTACAATTTTAAATGAATGAATACAAATTTAAGACTGATTTGTAGAAACAGAGCTATTAGCAAAAGTTAATGTGTCAAAAGGTGTGTTACCTTTTTTTTCTTCAAATACTTCAATCAGGCACTCAGACTCCTCTATGATTTTTTCTTCGATTGCCGTCTTTCCCATTCCAAACTCTTTTAAGTTTGTTAATGCAAAATGCCTCATCTCTCTCCATGAATCTCCACTGGCAAAAACAATTCCTAGAGAATTTTTCAAGTACCAGAAGAAAAGCAAATATTAAAAAGAAACCTCAATATACACACACAGAAAAACATGTTTTCCACCCACCATGAGTTAATTTTAAGTCACTAATAATTGGAAGTATTTCTTTGTCTGAAAAGGCATCAACATTCAGCAGAGCTTGCTTGATCGTCTTGTAACCTGCCAGCACCACTGTCTTTTTGGGCCCCAAATGGACAGTGAATACTGGGCCATACTTCTTGGACAGCTGAAGTGAGTAAAACACAAGGAGACAAAAGTTTTTAAGTTTCTCCACATCTGAGTGGAAATAAATTGTAGCACTTAATAATAAATCTGTTTGCCTTTGCCAACAAACACTGCGTCAAACAAAAAAACTTTATGTCATGAATTTTTTTAAATTTTAGAAGTCTGTCAAAAACTTGTTTAAAACTTAGAATTCAATTGTTATTTATTAGGCAAATTCAATTCAAAGTTTTATACCAAAATTTGAGCGGGCAAACTGGACTCCTCGGAGAAGTCAGAAATTGTTCAAAGAGAACTTTCAACCGCACAAACATTTTTTGTTCAGGAATTCAAGTAAATAATCGTAAATTAGCATCTGCTTTAAAAAATATATAAAAACTTATAGTTTAGCACGGAATGTCAGTTTAATTACAGAAACATTCAAAAAAGATTTTGGTAATAGCCAATGCTGTTATTTTAGAGCAGTTGAAGTATAATCTTTACATTGTATGGTGGCTTAATAATTTTGTCAAGCACTGTATTTGATTTTTTGCATACCTCATAGAGCGCAATGTGAAGCGGCTGACGATTCAACTGTAGCAAATTGCCAAACAGCGGCAGTGGCGTGGGACCTGGAGGGTAGTTTCTCTCAGAAGCAAGTTTGGTGCATATTAGATAGAAAGCAAGTAAGATCACAACTGTGATGAGCAGAGATGTTACATTCGGAGTATGTAGTAAAAAATCTTCCATTGCAGCCATACTGACCTAGAAACAAGAGTAGTCTGCCTTACACTTGTGTTTCAACAGACCTTATGGTTATTGTCAAAACGATATTAAACATTAACAACACAGACATGCCTTGTTTGGATAACAGCCAGTCAGACCCTGGCCTACTGAGACTATTGCTATTCACACACAGGCCCAGCCCCAGTCACTGGGGCCATGGGAATGCTGAGTGATCAGAGGGCAGTTTAGGTGAGCTCAGTCTGAACTTGTTTGGATCAGATTCAGAGCATGGGGTTTGAGGTTTGCAGCATGGATCCAGCAGTGACAATTCTTGTAGAGCACAGGTGTCGAACTCTAGACCTCGAGGGCCAGTGTCCTGCAGGTTTTTAGATGTGTCCTTGATCCATCACAGCTGATTTGAATGGCAAAATTA